TTAATTTTTGTGGTTTTTATGGATGGGTCAATCCACGAATTTAGAGTATTTTTGATTAATCTAAAATCTTTTAATTATCGGTATTAAACAGTTTTTTGATAGGTTCAATTTGTACATCATACTGTTTGAGACATTCATTTTGTGGGTCAATGATTTTGTTGCATTTGGTGTTTATTTTTCACAGTTCTTAGACAAGTTTTGGTTGATACAGATTTTTTTGTGTATGTATGAAATAATTTAAGATCTAAAAAAAATTTTTGTCATGGGCTGTAAGATTTATTTTTTGTATAACATTATTTGCATTTTACTTTTTTCAAAGACAATCTACAAATTTAAAACCTACAAACACTTCATTTTTGACAGAACCACTCAATTTCATGCCCACAAAATTAAGTAAATTCAAAGTATTTATCTAAAATAGTAATGAAAACTGGTAGTGTAAAAAACAAGTTTATTTGCTGGTAGCAGATTCTTCGAGTGCTAGACTGACTCTGACAAACATAAATGAATTTTAAATTTTTAATGTCCAGCGATGATTAAACCAACAGCATGAGATGTGTAATATTTTCAAGAAAGTGCACTAAATGAACCATTTAGTTGTAACCATGACACCATCCCCCAGGGGCTGTCAGATGGTTAACATTCTTGCTAAAAGCCTCAATACCACAATGTAGACACATCCCCAGCCATTTTTGGCACCAATTTGACCAAAACATAACAACTGCATTGACCCAGTTGTATGGGGATAGATGTTTAAACATGGAGGTCACGGTAAAAACTTGGCTAATTTTCTCTCCCGTTCAATGATTTCAATACTTATGAGAAGAATTACAGATTGAACACAGCTGAAGTCGGTGCCAGTGGCCAAGAGAGATATTGCACTTTTCATTCATATTTCCCTCATAAACAGTCATTCAACAAAGTTTGCAATTTTCACTGTTAACATAAATTTTTAATGCTCTATAGGGGGTTTCTTTTTTTTTCCAAAAGTTAAATACAAAGTAATAGTAATCCAAATGAATGCATTATCTTATATGGCTGTGTGTCTTCAAAATCTGTCAACCATGCATTTTCCTCCCCCGACCTGAAATCAAAATACATATTTAAGTTATAATTATTTAAAATAAAATTACATCAGATCTTTAAGTTGTTGAAGCTTATTCTGGAGATTTTTTCAACAATCTGAATCTAAACATTCACTTGTATTTCTTAAGGAGGTAATATTCTCTGATTTTAAAGCTGCGCTGACTGAGTGATGTCAATTTCATGTCCTCTTTTTTACTACAAACTTTACAGAAAATATAAAAATGACCCCACCCTACTTTTGTGTAATCAACTTGTCCTTCTTTGAATCAAGGTCAAGATCCAATGGGAGTTTGTGAGGTTTCAATGTCAAAATAACTGGACAGCGTGCTGGACTATTTTAAGTGTTTGATAGGAAAACAAAAGCATGGTTATGAAGAAGTTCGAAAATGGCCATAATTCTGTCAAATCAAAGTTAGAGTTATAGGCCTTAGAAAGTGACCTCCTATTATGCTCTAAAATGAGTATGTGAAGTTTCAACCCATTCCCTTCAGTAGTTTTTGAGATACCAGCTTGCAAGTAAAACTTTACCAAAGTATGAAGTTCGAAGTATGCGGATACCTAGGTGAGTACAATACGTCTCCCTCCCTATTCTAAGAATAGTCAAGGTAATAAAACTGAGTTATCAAACAGCATAGAATGCAGTTAAGTCAAGTCAAGTAATATTTATTATATAAATACAAGTATAAAAAACATATAATAACATAGATCCTTATTTTGGATATTTAATCATGTAAGTAGTGTTTATATTTCGCTTAATTAACTCACTTTAGTTGAACATCATACAAGGGCTAGGATTGTCAAGTTCGTAGTCGTTTATGGAGGTAAAAAGTGATTTGTTGGTGGCTGTTTATGGATCACTATCAACGATTTTTTATATAGTTCATACACAATTCATACACTTAGGTGTATATATGTGTACAAACACTGACCTTTAGTAAGCTAGCAAGATAGCTTCTTCAACTGAAATAATCTAAAATCACAGTTGGGAGCCTTGAGGAACCAGCAATTTCCAGTCAGAAACGATAACCATTTGGTCGAAACCCTCCAAAAAGATAATAATACATAGAGGCTATTGTAGTAAAACTGTTACCTCTTTGTGGTATAAAATGTTGTTCAGCGCCCTCTATCTCCCTCATTTCCTGTAGTAAACTGCCCATGTGGAATGTCTGAGGTGCCAAAAGAAATTTTGAGATTTGTGAGAGGCTAGAAATGACCCCAGCTCGATCATAAGGTAACGTGTAACCAACGTTGAAAAGCCTTTGACTCTATCTCAATCCATTGAGAAGTTGCAGCACTTTGAAATCAATTTTGATGGAAATAATCAACGCAAAACAGTGATTTTTTGGCAATTTTGAGATGTCCCCTCGTTGCCATGGTAACATGAAATTTAAGACTGAGCATGTTGTTACAAAGGCAATTGTCCAGTCAATATTTTGCTAAGTTTGATTAGTATTGAGGCAGTTTTTATAGTTTTATATAAATTTGAACTTGTAACGGGAGACTTTTCAATGAAAATAGCCATTTTTCACAAAATGCTCATGAAGTAATGGGTTAAAGCAGCACGCCTCCAAATAAAACCAAATAAATGTTAACTTTCAAGAAAATTTTGGAAATGTATTGAAAAGTAAAATATTGTGAAGAGAGTAATTTATACATTGCAAACAGCACTTTACATCAACATAAATTACCAAAAAGAGATCAAATTATGCAAAGTTAACCCTTTCTTCATAAATCTCACAGAAGAAATATGGTGTATACATATATATTAACACATAACACATGTGCATATTTTCTTATCCATTTATTTTATGTTCTTTTTGTATTTTGATACAAAATATAATATGAACAATCTATCAAATAAATTATCATGAAATAAAGAAATCTAAAATCCCATCAACAAATAATAAAATATCAAATATAATAAATGTATAAACACACATTCTCATTTTTCTTTTGTCAAATGGCGCGTAGTTATTAATTCTTTAACAAAATATCAAGTATTCTTAATGAATAATCTTTGATAAAAAAAAACTCAACTAAGGTTTTTTTTTGTAACAATGGTACTGGAAATATTATTTTCGAGATTTTTTACATCATTTGATGTAGGTTTATACCAGTAACTTGTATGCAGTGTGTTCAATCACTCTTGTTTTTTTTGTTTTGTTTTCTTCAAGAATAATAATTTTTATTGTGCAAAATCACCTAAAATATGCAATACAATCAGTTTAAATCCCACTAAATATTTTTTTTTTTTAATTTAATTTCAAGAACATGTATATTTCTTTATGTTATTACATATTTTCTGTTTTAAGTTGTCTATTTGATTATGTAAGATTTTCAAATATTAAGTTTTTAGGTTTTTGAACGTCAGCTGAGCTCCTTTCAAAATGATAATCAAGAATCTTCTGCGACTTTCATAATAACAAAGGAGACAACACATATTAAACCATGTGCAATCAGGAATGTAAAAACTGATGGAAAAAAGTAAAACTCTTGTTTTAAATTTACTATGCCATGATTAATTTCACAAATTAGCCATGATTAATTTCACAAATTAGCCATGATTAATTTCACAAATTAGCCATGATTAATTTCACAAATTAGCCATGATTAATTTCACAAATTTTATTGTTAAAAAGAACAGTGCTAAACTATATCAACATGACAGAAAAACACATGCCTTGTCCAAAAAATAAAAATATTCTAATATATATATATATATGTCTATATATAGAGATTGTATTGTATTATTTTAACAGAAAAAATGACAAATCTTCAACAGCAAATGAGCTTGAATAACAAAATTCGTCGGCATGGTGCAAACATTATGTAACTCTTTATGTCATATGAGTTACAGCCATGTCGCACAAAGCCCTAAAAATGTCAAAAAAGTTTCCTTTTCACCCTTTATGACACAGAACTTCTAAATGCATGTACAAAACCAAAATAATGTGTAGACTGAAGCTATTAAACAAAATCATTTAAAATTAACATAATTATAACCAGGTGAACAAAACCAATGCCACAAAATTGCATGAGCAAATCTGACAGTAGAAATAAAAACCAATTCTTTCTGAATTCAAAATTCATACACACACATACACACAACAACAAAAAAAGAGTTTTTTTTCAGCAGATGAACTTTCTTGACTCTATTTAAAATGCTGGTTGCCATGACAACATACTTACATGTATGTCCTTAGACCTCATATAAGTATAGAGGAATGGTGAGCCAGGATAAATGTGCACTCACAACAACCACTATATTGTTTTGTTTAAAGAATTTTAGTATGCAATAATGATCTCCCTTTGAATTAAAAACAGAGTTTTTAAGATTAAAAGCATGACAATTTAATTGGTATGCGCTAAGTTATAAACAAGGTGTCCTGTGAGTTTGAATGGTGTACATTGTAAAAAAAATAATCTTTTATGATTTTGTGTTGTTTTCAATGCTTCCAAGACATTACAACTTTCCAGAATGTTACTCCTTTTTCAATAATGTATATGGATTAAGTTTGTTTCCATAAAAAAGTTTATAGTAAAATGCTCAATTTGGCAAGCATATAAAAACCTGCAAAAATTATCTGATTACAAAAAAACTATTTGCATTTTAAAGGGGACTTACTTCTCACTTTAGGATTGATCATCAACAAATAAAATCACAGGGATAATTAAAACAAACAAAAATATTTAGAGTACAAAACTATTTCAATTTTAACTGACAAATAAAATCTAGACATAAGTTTTAATGAGAGTTCAATTTAACCACATAAACCAAAAATTTTAATAATTGTCAAAAAAAAAACAACAACAAAAACTAATTTGTAAGATCTTGCCTATTTTAATGTGCAAATTACTTTCTTAGTTCACTTCATAATATTTTACTTTTAAATACATTTTTAAAATTTTCATGAAAATAAGTATGAACCTAGAGGCATGCTGCTTTAAATATACAATTTTTCTGGCGCTTTTTTACAAGAATTTATCAAATACTTCCACATTTTTCATTTGAAAAGTGATGCTAAAATTGATAATTAAATGAGTTACATGATTTAAATATAAAATTTACTTTAAACACTCTTACTACATAACAAAACTGGAGAAAAGTAGAAAAGTCGAAATTTAGAATAAGTGCCCTTGACCTTTAACTTATTGACCTGCAACTCTCCCAAAGTGTCAAGTCAACATTAATGTACCTACATACTATATATCTAAGATAAGTCAGGTCTCAAGGTGAAGGGCTCATTGTGAAAAGTATTAAAATCTAATAAAAGCTTCAGAGAATCTGACACTGATGCCATTCAATTAGGTAACATAGTTCCATCTAATGTAGGTAGGTAACAAACTTTTGTAAAGCTACCAGTCAAAACATATATACATTATAACAGTTAACTAACAGTGATAGACAAAAAATAGCCAATTAACATCAATCAAAATACACATTTACACCTTTCCTAAATCAATTAATTATTTCAAAATACAATAACAAACAAAACAATCAATTCATAATCATAATGATATGTTTATTACTTGTTAATCAAATATCAATTTAAGAACACCTGGCAGGCAATCACTAATCTCTTCAGAACAATTATTATTACTAGTCACACATTTGTTAACATTCTCTACAGATTTACCTCCCTTTACCACAACAATATCACATAGTTTTGCATAATCACTTCTTGATTGATAATTAACTCCCGACCTGTTACCATTTAGCTTTGTCGGAACATTTAAACTAGTCTCATGAACAATAATCTCTTGTGGTTTAGATACTGTTGCATATTTCTCTTCACTTTTCTTGTTATCAGAGCTCTTTCTTCCATTTTCAACATTTCCTCTTATCCCATTTAAATCAGCATCTAAATCGCTATTAATCTGAGCGTTTTTATCATTTTGTAAACTAGAACTACTTTTATCTGTACAGAAATCTCCTCCCCTGATAATTGTATGGAAGTATGTTCCCCTGTGAGGCGAGTTGAAACCACAGTGTTCATCACAACCAAACTGCCGTGCCTGTGATAAATTTGAGCCATTTAAATTTTTATCCACTGAAACATCAATACACTTTCCATCATTTGAACTCCATCAAGAGTTTAAATTCAATCCGAACTCGTTATTAAGTCCGTCAACGTCTTTATTATCACAGTATTGATAAAGTTCCGGCCTCCCCATGAGGGAGATGGCCATACGTAATGTGCTCCAGATATTCTGTGACATCACAGACTGCGGGTCCTTCATTCCGTGACTCTGTTTCTGCATACTTAACGCAGCTAGAAAATGCTCCACCGCCTCCCTGATAAATAATGGAACTCAATTTAATATACATATATTATTTTTACAATATATATACTGTTAATACCTGAAGATATTTAAAAGCATTTAAAGCGCTTACAGAAATAAAAGTATAAAACTTTTAACGTAATTTATATTCTGCATTTCCCAAAACCTATTTTTGATATATTTTATGTTATTGTTTAATTAAAAAAGAGACACACGTATTTGAATTTAACCAAAAACTAAACTAAATTTTATATCTTTATTTCATATATACAATGTATATTTTATATTCATATTTAATTCTGGGGGATACATCTATATGTATTTAAAATAAACAAACAATAAAATATAGAAATGTCAGCCATTGATAAAGTAACTGAGTTAGGAATGTATAAACACATCTGAACAAGTATATTTACAAAATTTCAAACTATAAATGAATAAATAGATTTTTTCTGTTCTTTTAATTGGTAATCAAATGTGACTTCATGCAGTTACTATAGTAATTTATTACTTTTAATTATCATACTAGATGATATTTCAAAATACATGTTAAAATTCACATTGTATACTTCTGCTATAACTGCATACATGATTATATAAACACAGGTTGTTTTTTGTTTGGATTTTCATAGTGCTGTCACACAATAAGCTTCTGTGGTGAGATTTGGTCTTACCAATTGCTTCTGTTTGCTGCAAATTTGATTCCCAAAAACTGGCAATTTTGTTTACAAGTACGTGAGACAGCAATTTTGTTATTATATACGACTGGTGGTATTAGACTAACTTATAAAATAAAGGCATTAAATTTGTATTGCAGTCCTCAGACAGGCTATCTCTTTACCTTGATCAATTGTTAACAGGCATCGAAATTATTTTCAGAGGCACTCATTCTGCAGGACAAGTAGCTTTTAAATCCAATGTGCAGGCATTATTTTTCTACTCGTCCTGCATCAAGTTCTATTAAATTCTACTCATAATTATAAGCGGAAGAGTAGAACTTTCGATCTCTGCGGTAAAATGAGATAATATCAAATCTTTCATCATCATATTTTCATGTTTAATTTTGTTTTCACTTCTATATGATTTCTGTTGGAAAGCTGCAAATATCATACCTGTGAGCCCCTAGGTTTATGCATGCTATACCAAGGTTATATCGTGATCGTATAAAGCCGGGAGATAGATGCAATGCATTATGGTACGCGTCTATAGCCTCCTCGCTACGACTACCATTAGCTAACGTTGCCCCCAGTTTGTTCCATAGCAACGCATCCTAGAAAAGACGTACAAAAATGTTAATATATTTACCACAGCTATCATATGAGTAACATACCAAAACGTTACATACTAATAAGACCAATTATCATATAGGGAAATTGTCAAAATATGTATTAATTGAAGAGCCAACAGTACTATCTATGGTCTACTTTGGTCCCTAAGGTAACATATATTACCCAAACGTGTTAAGGGATACTAATTTACACTCTAGACCGATAAGAAAACAATATCAGACTAAGTAGGTTTCTTCTCTGTTAACAAGTTACAAGGTGTTTATGATAGAAACAATTATAACATTAACTATAGACTATTTTTAATTTTCTTCTTTTCTAACAATTAACCGTGTGTCTTTGATCAGAACAATTATAGCATTCCTCTTTTACAACCATCACTTACCACATCTATTAAAGTTTATTGCTATTTAAAATTCTCAAATTTCTTGTTTACACAGTTAAGTCAAGCCAGTGTCATCTTATATTTATAGCCCATTATTATTATCAATACATAGTGGTAAAGGTACATTTGAGGTCACCATTTCCCTTTAAAGTGTATTAAGTTATATATATGTTACAAGAAATCATGCTTGAATTTTTTTTAAAGTTAACTTCCAAAATGCCTGTATGAAATAACAAGAGCTGTCAGTAGGACAGCACGCTCGACTATTCCAAGTGCTTGATAGTAAAAGAGCCTTGATAATGTTAAATTTTTTTAGTTCACAAAAGGGCTAAATTTTTTTTATAAATTCATGTTATAGGCCTAAGAGAGAGTCTAATTATACAGTATTGGCTTGACTATTCGGAAAGTAATGTCACAAGGGTGTTTTATTGAGTATAATAATACTAATTACCTATTCATACTCAAATTTGACAGAAAAGGTAATTAGGCTTGTTATTAAGATGTTTTATCAAGTAAATCACTGCTTTATTATTATGAATGCATAAAATTGTCCCAAAAAAGGCACAAACCCTTCAGTAGTTATTGAGATAACAGCTTACAAGCAAAACTTTACCATGAATTTCTAAGTTAAAAAAGGGGAGAAAAATCAGCCTTAATGCAAGATAGAATTATGGATCTTTGTCCGTGATCTACAATTATGACCCTAAATGCATATGTGAAATTTTAAATAAATATCTTTAATAGTTATTGAGATATGTAAAACTTGCATGTAAACATTAACCAAGAGACTAAGTAGAAAAGGGGATATGAATCAGCCTTAATGCAAGATAGAGTTATGGAACTTGGTCAGTGACATACAAAAATGACCCTCCAATTTAGACCCTAAGTGCATGTGTAAAGTTTCAAGTAAATATTTTTAAAGACCTGTAACCTTTAACCAAAATTTCTAAGTTTCAAAGGGGCAAATAATTCTGCAAATATTGCAGGCAGAGTTACGCAATTTGCAAACTGATGTACATTGTTACTATAAAAAACTATTTTAAATTTCAATTGAATATCTCAAGCAAAAATTGAGATATTTGACTTTACAAAAAAACTTTAACTAAAATTTCTAAGTTCCAAAGGGGCATAATTCTATCAATATTGTAGGCAGAGATATCCAACTTGTCAATCTGATGTACCTTGTTACTATAAATAAGAATTGTAAGTTTCAATTGAATATCTCAAGCAATAATTGAGATATTTGACTTTACAAAAAACTTTAACCAAAATTTCTAAGTTAACTAGAAATGTGTCCATAGGACACGGATGCCCCCACACGCCACTGTTCTGTCAATCTTATGACTCTAGGTCAAATATTTTTTGGACTACATGTGCCACAAGTTGAAAACTAAAAATCAATAAAGGGCCATAATTCTGTTAAATTTGGTCGCAGCAAAAATTCCTACTTTTACTACCATCTACACATTAAGGTTGTTAATCCCTGGAAGTTTAAGCAAAATCTGCTATACCCGGTTTAAGAGTATATAATGAAAAAATCAACAAAGGGCCATAATTCTGTTAAATTTGGTCGCAGCAAAAATTCCTACTTTACTACCATCTACACATTAAGGTTATTAATCCCTGAAAGTTTAAGCAAAATCTGCCATCCGGTTTAAGAGGAGTTGCATTCACAAAATTTCTACATAGTATATAGTGAAAAAATCAACAAAGGGCCATAATTCTGTAAAATTTGGTCGCAGCAAAAATTCCTTCCTTTACTACCATCTTCACCTTAAGTTTGTTCATCCCTGTAAGTTTAAGCAAAATCTATCATGCAGTTTAAGAGCAGTTGCGTTCACAAAATTTCTACATAGTATATAGTGAAAAAATCAACAAAGGGCCATAATTCTGTTAAATTTGGTTGCAGCAAAAATTCCTTCCTTTACTCCCATCTACACATTAAGGTTGTTTATCCCTGTAAGTTTAAACAAAATCTGCCATGCGGTTTAAGAGGAGTTGCGTTCACAAAATTTCTAGATAGTATCTAGTGAAAAAATCAACAAAGGGCCATAATTCTGTTATATTTGGTCGCAGCGAAAATTCCTTCCTTTACTACCATCTACACATTAAGGTTGTTCATCCCTGTAAGTTTAAGCAAAATCTGCCATCCGGTTTAAGAGGAGTTGCGTTCACAAGATTTCGGGACGTACGGACGGACTGACGGACGGACGGACAAGTACAACGCTATATGCTCCCACATTGTGGGGGCATAAAAAGGGGCATAATTCTGTCAATATTGTAGGCAGAGTTATCCAACTTGTCAATCTGATGTACCTTGTTACTATAAATAAGAATGGTAAGTTTCAATTGAATATCTCAAGCAATAATTGAGATATTTGACTTTATAAAAAACTTTAACCAAAATTTCTAAGTTAAAAAGGGGCATAATTCTGTCAATATTGTAGGCAGAGTTATCCAACTTGTCAATCTCATGTACCTTGTTACTATAAATAAGTATTGTAAGTATCAATTGAATATCTCAAGTAATAAGTGAGATATTTGACTTTACAAAAAACTTTAACCAACGCAGACGCCGACGTGGACGCCGACGCCAGGGCGACTACAATAGCTCTCATATTCTTCGAATAGTCGAGCTAAAAATGGCAGTACTATTTTATATCTCTTTTGAAAATCGACCATCATATTATAGAAACAATAAAATTTGACATTTGATAAATTTTATAAAAATATATTAAGATATAGCTTAATACCCATTAAAAGTTCAAGGCTAAAACATTAACTAAACTTGTACACATCAAATGTTACAAATACCTTTGGTTTGACTTGTAACGCAGCTGAGAAACAATCTACCGCTTTATCGTATTCTCCACTCAAGTTGAACAAAACTCCGAGACCACTCTGTACGTCCGCGTCTATCTCACCCTGAGACACTGTACGTGCTGCATTGATGTAAAGATCCTGTATCTGCTTATGTTCATGACTGTAACAAAAACAGGCCACTATATTACTCAAACTTATTCAAAGGTAACAAGACTACTTGTTATATATTAAGCTGATGTCATACATTTTCTATGAAAAAATATAAATAATCTTGCTGGTCTACCAACTCTACTAACTGGCTGCTAACTAACTTTGTCCCCTTTAATCATTAAAATGGCTATTTAACGTGAAATATATATTTTCTACCTTTTAATGAGCAGCCTTAGTAGGTTTGAACCCCACTCGACCACCAACCTCAATTCCCTACCCATGCCTTCCATCAACAAAACACACTCCTATTTGAGAGGCAGACTGAAAAGTTTATTCCTGCATTTATGGGGATGGATTAAGGAAATTATAAAAATGTCTGATAAAAACAGTATTATACCTGGAAACATATGATGATACTCTAGGTTGAGCATCTACTGGCTCTGGTACCAGGTGTGCATATTTTGGGTTGTTTTTCAGCCAGAGTTTGAGTGTATGACAAGCGTGTGAAGCCAGTGACTCGTTTGTATAACTGACTGCCAGTGACATCAACGCTACGAGGTTACCTGGATCGAGTTCTAAACATCTGAAATAGTTATAAAAATAAAATAATAATCTTTACTCAATATTTGCTCATTTGTCTTAGAACTGAAAGACAACAGTCATGATTGAGTTTACTTTGTTTAAACATATTTATTTAAGCTCGCTTGTGAAACAAGTTCTTGCAACTTATATAAATCACTTTCAAGTCCATTTCCTGGAACCAACCAGTACTGATGTTTATGAAGAAACATGGTGGTGACCTGATTAGAGCTTGAACCCATGATCCCTGGGTTGAGAGGCTGACACCTTAACCACTAGGCCACAACTCCCCTTATTGAGTTTATTGTTGTATGTTTATTGTATTCGTGTGTCATAAACACCTGACACACCTTAGTAATAACCATGTCACTCACCCCAATTGTAATTGACAGATATAAATTTGAATGAACTATATGACATAGAATTGACATGTGTGATGATATCTCTGTCCTGATTGATTATAATGATTTATCATATATCCTCTATTTTGGAACTACATAAAACCGGTATTGCAAGGTTGTACATATATTTGACGTGATGTTATTTGCATTATAAAAACACAGTGTAAAGATGTGCTAAATGTTAGCATTACTTTTTACTAATGGACGCAGACTTTTAATACATCCTTGTGCTTCTGCAGGTGATAATGCATGCAAAAACGGTACATTATTCCTCTATTAATAACTGATAGTCTGGTAAACTGCAGACATATACCTATAACAAAATGGACAAATTACCTTTCCATTAAAAGTTGATATAGAATTTAACATACAATAAACATACTTATTTAGTGCAGAAATGGCTGCTGGTTCTTGTTCATTTTCAGCTTGTGTAGTACCCAGATACTGCCATGCCTAGAATATACAATTAAACATGGTGTAAATTATCATAATCATAATAAATTTCTCTGTTTTATTGATTAATTTGTGATTTTTAATTTCTCAAAATTGCCACAGTTGTGTATTAGTTCATGTACAGAATTAATAAAAACCTTGTTACAACTTTCTGTGGTAAAAAGGCGGCATGGCCAAGTGGTTAAAGCATCGAGCTAGCCATCAAATGATCGCTAGCCGATGTCACGGGCAAGTCGTTGTTTTCTTGAGCAAGAAAGTTTACACTCATTGTTCAGGATGGTTCCAGGAACGGATTCGAAAGTGTGTCTATAAGCTTATAGCTTCTTACACAATTAAACTAAATTAAAATCTGTATATAAACCAAAAGTTCAGCTGAAACAACAGAGATATCACAAAGGGGAATAATCAAGTCACAATACATGCTAGAGTTATGGATCTTTGCCAGTGATCTTCAATTTTTATCCTTAATGCATGTGTAAAGTTTCAAAACAATACCGAAAGTTGTTAATAAGATGTAAAGCTACAAGCAAAATGGTCTTCAGGCATTGCGCCAACAGTAATGCAAGGGTGAATAGAATTTCCCATAATGCTCCAAAAGCTGATCTAAAATACTTAAAGGGACTCCACTGAGGCTTTTTGACATGAAGAGATTGGAAATATTTTTTCGAGACCGAGACTTTTGTACCATTTGATGTAGGACTGGACTAATAATTTGTTAGAAAACAAGAGGGCCATGATAGCTTTAATATCCCTCACCTGAATATAAATACTCTCCATGACAAGGAAAAGGTACTATTGTAAACTATAAACAAAAGCAGATATAAAATCTAAATCTTAAACTGATATCACAAAGTTCATATTCGTATCTGGAATAGTGCACATGTAAAAGCATTACTGGTTGCTTTTGCTAATGGAAAAAACAGTTACATAAGAAGTCACTGGTTGCTGTACAAGATAAATAGTTTCATTGGAAGTCAGTGCTTGCTATGAAATTCAATGTTAGATAGATAATATTTGCTATGGAAGTCCCTGGTTGCTATGAAATTTTACAGTTCTATAAAGTAAATGACTGGACGATAGCCTTTGTAACTGCATACTCAATCTTAAATTTCCTGTTACCATGGCAATGAAGGGACATCTCAAAATTGCCAAAAATCACTATTTTTCCATCAAAACTGATTTCAAAGTGCTGCACCTTCTCAGTGGATTGAAATAGAGTCAAGGGCTTTTCAGGGTTGGTTACACGTTAAACGTCAAACCTTTAAACAGATGATTTTTTGTAACTGACCTCTTTTAGAACTTTGAACATAAAATCCATACTCAGGTTTTCTAGCAGTTATCAGGCTCTAGCCGTTTTCCGCTACCCTTTATCATTTTCAACCAGTACAGTATATTTTGACTGATAAAGTACTGTGTTCTTTTATGAAATCAAAGAGATGTTTTTTTTCAAGGCAACACAGAAGTTAAAATAGTACAGCGGTTTATATATTTGAAGTTTGACCTGTTGTTCAAAGTTACCTTAGAGGACTTGCAACATATAGAAATAGGCAAAACCTGGAAAATTCCAGTTTGAAAGCTAATGAGCAATAATTGAGGGCAACTTCTAATGCTTTCATTTTGGTCCTTAACTTTACTGGTATATGGGCCTGAAATTTAACAATATTGGCCTGAAATTTTAATTTTTAACACCTTTTCTCACATTCATAAAAAATGTCACAGCAATTTTTTAAGACCTTTTTCATTTTGAATATAACTCAGTTCCAGTAGTAAGCAATGTCAAAAAAAATATACTTGTCCAACCTTTTCTGTGTGGTCTGCAAATATATTGAATGCTGGAAAATTAGGTACCTAACAGTGTTCTGTCAAAGTTGTGTACTCATCCAGTGACAGATTCTTATCTAATGTGTAAAAAATGGCAACTTTTTGTACTGGAAACTGCTAGGAAACCAGTACATTTTCAATAGATAAAATAAAAGTACTTAAATATTTCAACTTGCATAATTTCTAAATCTGAATTTAAAGACTTTCCTATATTTGTATCAGCCTTCCTTTGATAATGAGGTCTAATTAAAACTTTAAATGGACAAGCTCTCACATAAGTCGTATTAAAAAATAGCAAAAAAATACTTATAGCCAATCAAAGCTAATGAATTGAATTTTGACAATTAAATAATTTTGATATTGCAACAGCTCATTTTTGAATGTGTCCTAAATACGACAACAAAGGACTAATATATACATGTAAATGTAAACTTGCTTTTCAAGTGAAGTATTTTTATCAGTTAGATATTTTCTTCCGTGTTATATTATTGATTTAAATGATAAACCAGCCCTATGTAAACACTTTATTATTTATTTACCTTAAAGTTTGAATACGGATAAAGTTTAGATAATGTTTCACCAGATAAAGTTGGACTTTGTGCAAAGAGGTAAAAGGGCACCTTTGATAAGTTAACCAAAAGTAGGTCAAATCATTTAGACATTATTTAGCAACAGGATAGGATTTAAATCAATGAAGACATTGATATTTTTCCAGGAGTTCAATGTAGAAGATTCTTAAGGCTTTCAGTTATCTTAATAAAAGAGTACATCAATGTTTAAATTTTAAAAAACTTTTGAAAAAAATTTAAAGGGGACAATTTTTATCCTTTTTTCCCTTTTTGTAAATAGTTTAGGCAAACCAAGCGTAGCGAGAAAAAAACAAAAGGCAAAGGGCCCGAGAAATTGATACGGTATTCTTTCGGATAAATTTTGGTAATTTATGTTCCAAGTGCTAAAAAAAGGGGCGGGAAACGGAAGGGTGAAAAATTTTTTATTGGTGGGGTTTTGGGCCCGATTTTTTTTCTGTGTTAATTGTGTCAAAGTTACAGAAAAAGTGCCTGTTTTTGGGCTGGCACAAGGTATTGGATAAACCCAAATTTTAAGCCCAGGAACCGCAAAGTTTTGGCCCGAAGGAAACCCGGGGCAGAGAGAGTAAAGGGGAAAGTCTTTTAAAACCCCCATTGATAGTATTGTTAAAGAACCAGGGATAATTTTGGCTGTTCTACATGTATGGCAGTTGATCACAGGTAAACTAATAAAAAAATCTATAGTATTTAATTAAACAAGGAAATTTGTAAAGTAAATATATGGAATGTTTAGTATATAATACTTTACATAATATTCTTAGAATATCTTAAATATATAGCACTAAATAAAATATCATCTCCTCTGTCATCTCATAGCCTCATAAACTGTTTGAACTGATTTTTCAGAATATGTAAGGACACATTCTACATACCAGAATTTATCCAAAACAATACTTACCAAGTTGAATCGAGAGACATTCAAACAAAACTCAAGGAAATAGCCAAGACCCTTGAAAAACAAGCAGATAGATTTAAACAGGATAAACAAAGGCTGTTAAAGAGGAAAGCAGAAATACTGGCTGATATCAGAAAATTCCGTCAAGAAATCAATGACCATCTTGACAAGCTGGAGAAAAGTTCTATTGATGAGATAGAAAGTAAAGTCAAATGTCTTGAAGACAAAATTGAAGACGGTTTAAAACAGCTACAAGCAAATAAGTCCAGGATTAGATCAGCTAATGATAAATTAGCATCTACAAACACAAGTCATTCTGAAGATTTTGTTTATGTGAAAATGGGAGAAGATGCTGCAAATGTTGCCAACAATTATATGGAGAATGCCAAAATCAAAAGTACAGTAGAAGACATAGAGTTTCAACCTGACAGAACAATTCTTACACAGTTAGAACAAAAGAAGACCATAGGCATACTATCAGAGAAACCTACAAAGACTGCTGACAATTTATTTCAGATCAAAGAAAATCAATCATATAATGTAAAAGTTAAGTCTGATAAAGACAGTTGTGATATCATGAGTTCCTGCTGTATGAAAGATGGTACAATAATTCTAGCTGATTGTGACAACAAAAAACTTAAACGGTTAAACAGTTACAACTATACTGTCACAGACTACTGTGATCTACCTGGAGAGCCATGGCAAGTATGTATGATTAATAACACACAAGTAGCAGTATCTGTTTCATTTAAGCAGGAAGTTCATTTCATTTCTCTAGAAAGAAATATGAAAACAACAAAAAAGATTAACACTGATTTTGCATGTTTCGGTCTTGCATATGCAAACAATAATTTATATATTTCAGATAGGTTCACATCAGTATATATGTATACATTGTCAGGTAGGAAACTTAATCAGTTCGGTAAGGATCAATCAGGACATAAATTGTTATCTTACATATACAGTCTAGCTGTCAGTAAGGATGCTACTAGGATTTATGTTGCTGACTACAATAATGAACTGATAGTACTGGACAACAATGGTCAGGTTATTACATCATTTGATGATAAACAATTAAAGGGGGCTAACTGTTGTTATCTCACTGAAGCAGGTAGTGTGCTGGTATCTGGACATGGCTCCAATAATGTTTTACAGTTTACATGTGATGGTGAGCTGATAGGAGAGGTTATAAAAGCTGATAATGGAAAGGAGAAAATTAGATTAGTCTGTTGTAATCAACAAATGACAAAGATGTGTAAAAGTAGATATCCAGATGACAACATAGAAGTGTTTGACATATAATCAGTAAAACAAATAAGTCATGAAAGAAAAATAAACATGTTTTTAAATATATGCCTTTCTCTCACAATGAACATGTTTTATTTATTATAGGTGATAATTTATTTTGGAATATCAACTTTTGAATGCATCTGGTTTAATTGTTATTTGTTATATTACAAAAATAAGAGCCGGTTGAACCGGGTAATGCTCCCCAAATAGGTTCTGGACACAAAATCTTTCATAGTTTTGAGAGTTATATCCCAGACAAAGTTCAAAATGTGATAATGTCAAATTGGGCAAGGCAGAGTTACTGTTGTTTGCACTGCACCCTTTTACTTTTAAAGAGAAACTTACAACTTTACTGCACGGGGACACATTGTCTCAATTATGGGGTATTTCTGTGAAATTAATAAAAAACCCACCCAAATTGCGGGCGACAGGGCTCTTTATTTGGGCCCGGGCATTGATTTTGCTGCAAGGCAAAGCTTTGACCTTGTCCCCTTTAACGTAAAACCCGGGCCCAAATTTGAAACGCGACAATCGTCTCAATATGGGGATCATTTTTTGAAAATAGTTTTTAAAAACCACTTCAAAAAAACGAAAATTATCGGCCAGAAAACGATTTTCGCTGCAAGATTTAAGCTGTGACCCTTGGCCTTTAAGGTAGCGGGCCCCCAAGTTGCGGGGGAAAATGGGTGTCTCAATTTTGGTGCTTTTTTTTGTGAAAAAAGTTGTTAAAAACCAACTTCAAAATAACGAAGTTATGGGCCGGACACGATTTCACTGCAAGGTCATGCTGTGACCTTGACCTTCAAGGTAGCGACCCAAATGTTGTGCATGACACAGCGTCTGAATATGGTGATCATTTCTGCGATATAGTTGTAAAATCAGACTTCAAATAACAATGTTATGGGCCAGACACGATTTTGCTGCATGGTCATGCTGTGACCTTGACGTTCAAGGTAGCGACCAATGTTGCGTGCAACACATTGTCTCAATTTGGTGATCTTTTATGTGAAATAGTTGCAAAATCCAACTTCAAATAACGAAGTTTATAATGGCCCGAACACGATTTTGCTGCAAGGTCATGCTGGACCTTCAAGGTAGCGACCCAAATGTAGCGCGCGACATGTCGTCTTAATATGGTTATCATTTCTGTGAAATAGTTGTAAAATCCGACTTCAAATAACGAAGTTATGGACCGGACATAATTTTGCTTCAAGGTCATGCTGTGACCTTGACCTCCAACGTAGCGACTCAAATGTTGCGCTTGACACGTCGTCTTAATATGGTGATCATTTCTGTGAAATAGTTTTAAAATCCGACTTCAAATAACAAAGATATGGGCCGGACACGAATTCAGGACGTAAGTACGTACAAATGGACTGACGGACGCACGCACGGACGAACAACCCGACGACTATATGCTCCCCCGAAGTTTTTCAGGGAGCATAAAAACAACTGATTTGTTTGAACAATATGAAAAAATCATAAGAGTGTTTGGCAAGCATAGTATTGTTAATTTGATGAGTTTTATAAATTTAGAAATAAACACAAATAATAATTTTTTCTTTATTACATGCCAAAAATAACAAGAGCCCGGTTTGAGCCCGGTGATGCTCGCTCTCCGAATAGGTTTTGGACACAGGAAAGTACACCTCTTGTAGTTTCAGAGTCATGTCCCTGGAAAAAGTTGTAAGTGCAATAATTCCAAAATAAGGCAAGGCAGAGTTACTGTTCTTCGCACTGCACTTCTAATCAATGTGATCTATCAACCTACAAAGTTTCTTGTTGATACCTCTTATGGTTTCCAAGTTATGTCCCGGACAAAGTTCAAAATGTAAAAATGAACAAAGGGCAATAACTACAAAATTTGGCAAGGCGGAGTTCAAGTTCTTAAGCACTGCACATCTACCCTGTGAGACCCATCTACCTACAAAGATTCATGTTAATATCTCTTGTAGTTTTAGAATTATTCCCCGACAAGATTTTTTTAAAAGGAGAGATAATTCAAAAATTGGGCAAAACAGAGTTATGTTTTTTTTTTTTGAAATGCACTTTTACTCAATGAGATCTATCTACCTACAAAGTTTCATGTTGATATCTCTGATAATTTTATAGTAATGTCCAAGACAAAGTTCAAAAAGTAAAAATAAACAAAGGGCATTTATTCCAAAATTAGGCAAGGCAGAGTTCAAGTTCTTAAGCACTGCACATCTACCCTGTGAGACCCATCTACCTACAAAGATTCATGTTAATATCTCTTGTAGTTTTAGAATTATTCCCCGACAAGATTTTTTTAAAAGGAGAGATAATTCAAAAATTGGGCAAAACAGAGTTATGTTTTTTTTTTTTTGAAATGCACTTTTACTCAATGAGATCTATCTACCTACAAAGTTTCATGTTGATATCTCTGATAATTTTATAGTAATGTCCAAGACAAAGTTCAAAAAGTAAAAATAAACAAAGGGCATTTATTCCAAAATTAGGCAAGGCAGAGTTGTGATTCTTGTGCACTGCACATCTACACAATGAGATATATCTACCTACAAAGTTTCATGCTGATATCCCTTCTAGTTTTACAGCTATGTCCTGGAAAAGATTTTCCTAAAAGGGGAGATAATTCAAAAATGAGGCTTAACAGAGTTATGGTTCTTTTGCACTGCACTTTTACTCAATGAGATCTATCCACCTACAATGTTTCTTATAGTTTTCGAGTTATGTTCCGGACAAAGTTCAAAGTGTTAAAATTAACAAAGGGCAATAACTCCAAAATTAGGCAAAAAAGAGTTGTGGTTATTGTGCACTGCACATCTACCCATTTAGATCTATTTACCTACAAAGTTTCATGTTGATATCTCTTATACTTTTAGAGTTATGTCCCGGACAAGATTTATCTATAAGGGGAGATAATTCAAAAACGGGGCAAAATAGAGTTATGGTTCTTTGACACTGCACTTCTCCTCAATGCCCTCTACCACTGTATGAAGTTTAAACAAATTATCTCCAATGGTTTTCAAGTTAAGCTCCAGACTAGACAACGGACGGACAGACGGATGTGCGGACAAACAGACAGACGGACAAGGTGGCGACAATATGCTCTCCCTTCGAAAGCATAAAAATGGTATACAGTAAAAAAGAATCATTCTTTTAATCAACGCACATATACATGTAGTGCAATGCTAATATATAGCCTATTTTGATGTTTGAATAACACAATGATGTCATGTTACATTGTGATGACACTAGTGTAATATTCATTTTCATTTAATGGCTTTTTTATACTTCTGTGCATGAATGAAATAAAATTTTATTCTAAAATCCTCTTTAGTCATTACCTCGACCCCAGAATGCATAAAGTCGGGTTCATACAAAAACCAAGTATCTAAGATAATAGTGAACAATTGATGGCTTTAAGCAGCACACCTCCAGAAGATAACAGAAAACCTACTGTCCTCCTAATATTTCAAAATTACTAGTTGAAAGAAATCGGAGTGACACTTCAAAATGTTGATAGTTTAACATTTTTGCTCTGAATATGAACAGTTCGCTTTTCCGCCAATGAGATATACCTTCTTTTATTATACTACGGAATTCTTTCATTCGATTTTCCTAGTGCTATATGATGGTACAGGACAATATTGCGACCTGTGATCCGGAGCACATGGAATCAATATCACATAAAAAAAACAGGGAAACAAATAAATTACTTTGATTTTGATATTTTTAATAGTTTGTGATTATAAAAGTTACAATTGGTTAATCATATAATATATTATAGCATAAAATTGGCTATTTTCCCCCTTTGTGCCCATGTTATATGGGGACAAAAACCATGTGTTAACATAGTCACGCGCTCTTGTTATAGCCTGGTTTTACCTATGCGCAGGGTCCAGTAAACAAACAAAAAAATTGACGATTTGGCCTTGTTTGCCAAAGAGTCATGTGCTCTTATTATATTGAAATTATTGATTCGAGGGCCTCAATTGTATAACGGCGAGCAGCATTCAAGTAACTATTCCCGAAAAACGGCATATAGACATCGCAGCTAATCTTGGTTGTCGCCCTTTCTAAGAAATGGACAGTTGTCAATGTAAACAAATATATGTCATTCAGTTTAAGATTAACTTACAAAACAATTTAACACAAAATGAATGTGAGAAAATATTGTTTTATTGATGTTTACATTAATAAATGCTCTTTATATTTCTTTGAGAGAATAATGCTTAGTGCCTGATTTTTTTTTATAAACTTGTGTGCTTGAAAATAAAATAGATTCTGATGTTACTGATTTTTTTTCCTACCCTCAATCTGAAATAATTCTAGGAATTTCTAGGGTTATGTCTTGGGTAGAGTAATTTAATGGGTTTTTTACTTGAGTTAATAAATCTCAAATGTTAAGCTTTGTTAAATCAATTAAAAATCGAAATTTCGTACCGTTCTGAGCAATTGTATTTCCCAAGATGTTGGCCCCGGAAAAATTAATCCATTCATCAAACATGTAGAATTGGATAAATACCGTCCAAACACAACAATTTAATGTATGTGTTTTGTATTAAACCAACATCATGAATCTGTTTTAAAATTGTATGCTATAATAGCGTCAACGCAAGTTTATTTCGTGTTATAAAGTCTGCAGAGTCCTTCGGAACTGTTGGAGCCCTCGCCCTACCAGGCTGGGGTACCAACCGTTCCTCAGGACTCTGCAGAAGTTATAACACGGATAAACATGCGTAAACCCTATATTTAATGATCAACATGTCAATCAAAACTTGATCTTAATATATGATTAGGGTCTGCACATTAACAAACATTTATATATGACCCCTGGCCTACTGGATCCAGAGATTTTTCTGAACCTTTAGACTGTGACACGTGACCATGCTGAAAGATTTATTTTCTACTGCGTTAGTAACACAGTAGATTATACAACATGTACAAAGAAGAACAAGGGCAATTTTGTTGCAAAATACGCTTGTTAAAAGCTTTTGATGTATATGTGGGCCTAAAAGGTATGCATAGAAATTAGCTCTAAGTGTAATCTTGACCTTTGAACTGGATTAGCCTATGTATGAAGGAATACATTAAATGGTGGTGAACATTTCTACAAAGTATCATAACAAGAGGGTCATGGTGGCCCTAAATAGGT